CAGTGGTGCCGCACATGGCGCCTTTCTCTTTCTTGGCATAAATGCTCAGTTATGGTGGTTGGCGACGACCGCCAACCTCAACTAAGTATTGAAGGTCACGCAATAAATGTGCCAGGGGTTATAAAGGATTTGGGCGTAGCATATTCCAAGAGTCTCAATCTCTCGGAGCACTGTGCCTTGATAGTCTCCAAAGCATGTAGAACGACCGGTTTTATCCTACGAAACTTTAAAACTAGGGTCATCAGAATGCGCCTTTTCAACATGTACGTTAGAACTGGTCTGGAATACTGTTCGTCTTCATTTAGCCTCATGCGTGCTACTGAGCGGAAGAAAATAGAATCCGTTCAACACTTTTTTACCAAGAGAATTTTAACCCCGGAACACCGACATTTGTCTTACCAAGAACGTTGCCGGCTTACAGGCCTTGATCCTTTATGGTTCCGTAGATTACAAAAGGGACTATTTTTGCTATTTAAACTCTTATCTAATCACACTTTTAACCCACTCACTTCTTTAGGACATCATATCCACCCACGACGTAACAGTCACCGTGAGGTCTTCTTATTTCTGCCTCTGGCAAGTGCTGTTAAATATCGTCGGTTCTTTTCTGTAAATGCAATTGCTAATTGGAATAAACTACCCATGAGTGTGAAAACTCTGCAAAATTATCCTTTATTTAAGAGAACTATTACTCGATTTTTGCATTCAGAAAAGCTTCCTCAAATTTTGGGTGCCGAAAACTTTGATCGACTGTACCGTAGCGATGGCGTTTGTGGTCTCTGAACACTATGGCCGGTCTCACCAGCTGTTCCTCAACGCCTCTACCTTGACTATCCCCAACTTCATGAAAGGAATTTGACGTCCGATAATCTCCGATACCATGCAACCTCCCCCCTTCTTGACGGTCGATATTCTCCCACCGCCGGCAGTTTTTTCTCCTGAGCCCTCCAAACCACAAAAACCACCATCAACTATATTTTTATCCCTTAAGCTCGAGAGTTTTTTTCACTGCTGGTCGGATTTGTGTTTAATCGTTTCCCTTGACAATGCCTGTAAACTGGCATTAAATAAAAAATTTATTTATTTATTTATCAATATGGACATGCGCAAAACGTGCGTCGGGTGCGTGAAAAGTGCCACTGGGGGTTTTTTTGTGCCGTCCGACTTTGGCCTTCTGACAGGCCAAACACGAACGGGTCCACTGGCGGATATCAGTGTTCATGTTTGGCAAAACGAAACGCTCGCTGACGAGGCGCTGGGTAGTGCGAATGCCAGGGTGAGTCAGATTGTGCAACGCGTCAAAAACATCTCGTCTCATCTCGCTTGGCACTACGGGTCGGGAGGCACCGCGCGATACGTCACACGAAATTGTACCGGGGGTCGTGGAAAGGGGAATGACCACAAGCTGAAGACTGGTGTGTTGAAGGCTCTCAGTGAAAGTCGGCTGGTTTTGCAATTCTGCCATGCGCTCCAAATCGATGGAAGGGCATGTGGTGGCATTAATGCCAGGTCGAGAAAGACAGTCAGCAACTTGATTATAAAGGTCTGTAGCAGCCGCTCCAGTCCCCCTTTTCTCCGGCTGCGTTCTGTCGGTCGATGGCCGCGACAAGCTGTTGACACACAGCCACCCCCGCCGGCTAACACTCAGACACCTCCGGTCCAACTTCAGTGACTGTCGGCTGACCTCACAAACTTTCATCACCTCACGCGCGTCTAACGCCCTCGCTTGATACCCGTGAGGCATTGTGTGCATGCGCCCCTATTCCTCCCCTAATTTGTCCAATCACACGACCAACACTCAGCCAGTCACCCCTCCTGCTGACCCAGACGCACACCCGCGTAAACAACACACACACCGTGACTGACGCTCTCCGTGAACGGACGCTTATCTCTGTTGCAAGCAAACAGCCAACTTACGGCAACCTGCCCTGTGAACAGAATAAACTAGTCCTCACAGCTCCCTGACTTCTGTCATTAGACGAAACGAAATTATTGTGCGTGGTTTAAGTTGATCTAACATCCTTGACCGCCACAGGTCTTTAAGAAATCGAATGTCGGTGGTATACTGAGAAATATAATCGAGATGACGGCCCTCTCGGGGTGAATACTTGTCAGAAGAAGTAGCAGGGCATAAGTAAGAGGCTTGTGGTCAGTATAAATACAAAAATCTCGGCCCTCAATATGATTACGAAAATGCTTAATGGCTAAATAATGTGCAAGAAGTTCTCTACCAAAAGTGCTATAGCGAGTTTGTGGGGGTGTCATTTTGGCAGAGCAGAAAGCCAAGGGCTGTGTGCCAGTGAGCGTCTATTGCTGAAGGGTAGCACCTATAGCGAAATTGGAGACGTCGGCCACAATGGAAAGTGGGGCATCAGGTATAGGGTGAACAAGGGCAGTTGTATCCGCAAGAGCCTTCCTGGCACGATTGAACGCCTCTTCAGATGTGTCAGGAAAATAAAACTCGCGGTTGTTCCCGGGTAAATGGTTAGTAAGTGGTAACATTAATTGAGCACAATGAGGGATAAAACGTCGATTGAAATTGATAAGGCCTATAAAACGGCGCAGATGTTGAAAAGAAGTGGGAGTAGGGGAATCGTGAATAGCTGAAACTTTGGCATCCATGGGGTGACAACCAGAAGCATCTACGCGATGTCCTAGGAAAGACAGAGGCTGTACACCAAAAACGCATTTAGAAACATTAATGAAAACGTCAGATTGACTTAATCGTTCAAAAATGCGACGCAAATGTTGTAGGTGTTCGTGTTCACTAAAACTTGCCACCAGAACATCGTCGACGTAGACAAAAAAGAAAGGTAAGTTTTGGAGGGCTTTGTTGATGAAACGTTGAAAAGTTTGAGCGGATTTGCGTAGCCCAAAAGGCATACTAATAAACTCGAACAGGCCAAACGGTGTTGAAATCGCCGTTTTGGGAACGTCTTCTGGAGCAACGGGTATCTGATGGAAAGCTTTGACTAAGTCAATGTGGGAAAATATTGTTGCTCCGGCTAGGCTAGTTGAAAAGTCCTGAAGATGGGGAAGCGGATATCTGTCAGGCACAGTGCAGGTGTTTAACCGTCGGTAATCCCCGCATGGGCGCCATTCAACGAGAGACTTTTTGCACACCATATGTAGAGGGGCAGCCCATGGACTAGTGGAAGGTCTGATTATGCCTAGCTCCATCATGTGACTGAATCCAGCCTTGGCTATGGCTAAATTATCGGCGGCTAAACGACGGGGACGACTAAACACGGGTGGTCCAGTAGTTGAAATATAAGGTACAACAGAATGCTTGATAGGTTGGTTAAATCGTGAGGGTCGTGTGATAGATGGAAATTCCGAAAGTAAACGATGATAGGCAGTAGACGAAAGGATTGCTGAAATGCGTCGATTAGGTGATGAAAGTGTACGAGTGGAACATTTACAGTATAAAGAAGTCTTAGGGTCAATTAATTTATGGAACTCGATGTCAACAAGGAGACCGAAAGAGCATATAAAATCAACGCCAAGAATGGCAGTATGAACATCAGCGATAGTAAATAACCAACGATATGAACGTTTTAGGCCCAAATCTAGCGGTAGGGATCGTTGACCAAAAGTTTTAATAGATGTCTTGTTAGCTGCTTGGAGGAAAAATGAAGAGAGTGGTGACTTACGGTCCATTAAGGTGGGTGGGATTAGACTGATCCCCGCACTAGTATCCACGAGAAAATTACGACAGGAAGTCCTGTCATAGATGTGGTGTAAGCGACTAGGAGAGGATGTGCCGACCACATTCGTCGCCCTTACTGGTCGGCAGGGGGGTTTCCCAACGTGGGTGTCTTGTACTTGCACGGACAGTGGCAGCGATGCGCGTTGGAACCATAATTGTGATGATACCAACAGAAACCATCCACTGTAGGTTGGCTTGGAGCGGGGGATCTCGCGTGGAGAGGAATTGCAGGACTACGAGGGTTATAGCCGCGAGTGACCCGGAACTAGGAAACTTCAAAAGTGAGGGCATCCAGGCGTTTGACGACATCCTCGATTGTGGGGGGTAATTATGCTTCGACTAGCGACGTTTACCGTAACAGGAGGCTGGTAGTACTCGAGTATACGGTTAGCAGTCTCTGCGAGCACCTGAACAGTCGACGAAGGGATGTTAGGCGCAAGGATGGCTTGCACAGAAGGAGGTAACCTTTGGAGAAAAAGCTGCTTGAATATGGTGCATCCAGCTTTTGTCCGTCTGCCAACTGCTCCAAACGCCTAAAAAGCTGCGTAGGCTTCCTATTACCGAGGTCCTCCTCGGAAATTAAACGTTGCAGACTTTTTGCGTTGACAAGGAAATGCGGGAGATTAGAGCCTCCTTTAGGGCAGTATAAGGGGCTTCTGTGGGCGGACAATATATGATGTCGCGGAGGTCGGTGGCGAGATCCATTGAGAGTGCTGCCAAAACATAGTGAAACTTCGTATCCTCTCGTGTAATCTGACGGAGGGCGAAATGGGACTCCACAGTGCACAGCCACAACGCAATGTCACCTAGCCACACGGATGACAGGTCAAAGGTGTGAATTCCGGCAATCGGTTGGCTGGTAGATTCGTTGGACATAATTAGCCGATGTCGGTCAGGGGTCAGAAAATTGGGGTAGAGAACCAGCGCGTTGACAGTGAGATTGAAGGTTAGCGCTCGTATTGGATGAAAAGGTGAGACAGCGTGACTATCAAACAAGGGCTGGATAACTAATCCGATCAAGAAAAATTAGAGTGAGGATTAATCCGAATGGAAATAGTTATGCATATAAATGAAACAGAAGGAGCTATTAATTATATAGGGTAAACAATGTAAGTGATAAAGCCATTAGTTGGGCACGGTAAGTAGGCTATCCGGGGAACAAAGATAGAAGTATTTCACAGTTACAAACTACTAAATAAGAACAAAGTCGTCAGCAGGTAAAAATGCACGTGCTAGTTCTTTGTCTTATTGGAAGTTGTGCCAAGGTATTTTACAAGAGTATTATAACTGATTAAAACAAGACGGACTTAAATGTCACTACAGCTTCAAGCGCGTCAGATTGTTTATAGTGATGAGGAAAGTGCACTGAGTCGTCGACCTCACTTTCCCTTCCCATTCCCACAGAGGAGGCGGTGGTGGTGATGGTGATCGGCGCGCAGGGCGATGAAGCGAGGATAGGGCTGGAAATGTTGGATGTGTTGGATGTGGTGGGTGTTTGGGAATTGCGGTCAATCCCGCTCTCGTGGATGCGCATGTGACCGAAAAGGCCCATGCGATGCGTGAATATGCGAGGGCAGTGTGGGCAGTGGAGGCGAGTGCGGTGGGTGTAGGTTGGTGCTCCAGACGCTGGTTCGCCAGTTTCTGTGCGATGGATTCGCAAGTGACCGACCAGGCCGATGTGTGAGGTGAAGGTGCGGTCGCAGTGAGGACAGGTGTAGTCCTGATCCTCATCGCTGGAGTCGGAGGCAATGGGGTTGGTGTCGGATGTGGCATGCGTGACAGTCACCTGGGCGGCCGTTGTTGAGGCAATGTGGGAGGAGGAGGAGGAGGAGGAGGAGGAGGAGGATGAGGAAATTAGAGATGGCGGGGCAGTGGAGTAGTCAGAGGAAGTCGGCGGCGGAGAGGACGAGGGAGAGGCGGGTGGCCGGGCGACGGTTGGTGCAGTCCGAGAGGTGCAATTGATCCGAAGATGTCCAACAAGTCCGATTCGAGCCCGGAATGTCCGTTGACACGGAGGACACGTTGGAAGCTGTTGTGCGGCGGCGTTGCGATAGTTAGACCGTCGATTTTTACGATGTCCACTGTAGGCCCCAAAGCAGGCGGTGGGAGCAAGGACGATGACTTGCGCAGGGGTTTATAGTGGCGGTAGACTTGCACTGCATCTACCACACTCTCCTCTCCTCCCCAGCCTGAGCCCAGTGTCACGACAGAGTCAAGAAGGTCGGAGACGAGGGAGGCCGCAGGTGGATGGCTCGGACGGATCCTCGCCCTGGCGCTCCAATCCGCACCCGCTGGTCCACTCAACAAATGACCAGGATTTTGACCACAAAACAATGGGGTGATGGCAATGGTCCCAGTTGTGCGACAACTGCCGGCAACAGGGTCTGCCAGCGCACCCCGTAAATGTTGGTATTTGTTATTGCGCAAAGATAACGCCTGCCAGAATCCGATGTGGCCCCCGTGTTAGTCCAGCGCATTGAACACGTGGCCCGTTTGGGGGCACAACACACACACAGAGAGAAGGTCTATTGCCGCCAGATCGCCGCCACTAGCAGGACTGCCTGGCCGCTTTTTTCCGAGTGTCTGAAAAGTTTGCATGCGGTACTAAATGACTACTTAATAAGCGTGACTTTTGCATATTGATTTTTGACACTACATAAGTGTCGACGGCCGGAAATCTCCTTATGCTAATAACAGCATCTGGCATGGATGTATGCTAGCTTCAATTTTGTTGAATTAAAGGGCTGATCACATTGGCTTTCGGAAGGTTTGCTAATATCCACACATTTTAAAATACACTTTCATTTTTCGGATGAAAGCAAATATGCAAATCCCAGGTTCATGTTGTAAAGAAGGTGAACACGCGATCTCTAGGACAATACGTGTATTAGTCTGAGTTTTCGGTCTCGTACAGGAGTCCATCTTCAGAAACTATGAGAATGCAGCGTAAAATGAGCAGTTTTTGCAGTCAAACCATGAAGACGGGGGGAGTGCGATGCAAGAGTGGTGTTCGCGATAAGGCTGAGTCCACTCCGTCTCACGGCGGCGTGACTGCGTGTACCCCTGGCTGGAAATTGGGTCTCGCCTCTTGGTCGCGGGAACGGAGTGCGTAGTAGCAGGGGCATATCAACGCGTCTGTTGATGGATTTGGTGTCAGATACACAGGCCTCCGGCAGTTCTCGCCCTGTCTTATTGTTGGCCCGCACAACTATCCGCGTTCTTACGAAGTCGAATTCGTGGCCTTCAGGATGTGAGTGGCGACCTGAGACAATGGGTCGCCCTCTCCGGACCGCCCATGTATGTTCCGTTGTTCACGAACTAAGCTGTCGTTCGATGTGTCCTTTTTAGGCGCGAGGGCAGCCCAAACATGGGATCTGACAAACGACATCCAATTGTTCTCCTACGTCTAGCCGGTCATTCATTTGCATGATTTTGTTGCGCATGATCGCTTTTGGACGGTGAGTGACACTCACGCCGGGCTCTCTAGAGATACGTTCCATCGCATCGGACACATTATTTATACATGGTATGGGGTACCAGAGTATTGGCCGTTGTCCTCTGTTTATTCGCGTGGGTGCGTGCGGAGGCAGCGGTCGACGAAGCTGTTCGGGTATCCATGCCTTGCTAGTTGGTCCCGAGGGTGCCGTAGTTATCGTACTCATCCCTATGGCTCACTGCAGTGCGTTTTACCCCTTGGAAGATTGTCATAACACAGCTGCGTTTATGCGCCATTGGATGGCTACTATTATAGTTGAGAAGCTGAGTCCTGTTAGTCTCCTTTCTAAACACTGCGGTACTGAGTTCGTTATTGGGTTTGCGTGTGACGAGAACGTCAAGGAAAGGCACTTGTTGGGTATGCTCTTCTTCCCTTGTGGACTGTATGTCGGGGAATATGCCGTTGAGCAGGTCCTAAAAGTCGGCTAGTCTGCTCCTTTCAATTATAACGAACGTGCATCTACGTGCTGGTGTCAAATCACAGGTTCATAGTGCTCGAGGACGACTTTTTCAATACAGACTACAGTACGTGACCTATCTCATGAAATCTGATAGCGGAATCTGATGGGAGAATTTCTTGACGCCTTTAACGTTGCGCGTTTTGTTCGCTCACCCACATCCTTCAATGAAATGTCCTTTTATTGTTCAGAAATTGTGTAAACGTAATTATATCGAGTAAAACATCAGTAAATTTTAGCGCAACCAGGTTGAATATTGGCGAACCCGTCGGTGTTCCTTTGATCCGCTCGTATGTTCTGTCGTTGAAGGTGAAAAAGTTTCGTTGGCAGAAAGCAGAAAGTTTCGGTAAATGGTCGATTTTTAGAGGTCTGTTCGTTTTTTAGTAGTTTCATTCGAGTCGTTTGCGTAGAACATCGAGTGCCAGGTCCGGTGGGATGGATGTGAATAATGAAACCACGTCAAAAGAAACCCTTAATCTGGTCAGATCGGACAACTTTTCCTCGGACCTCGGGCCGTCCATTTGAATAGATAATGAGTGAGGCCACTTTTCAAGGCCACGATCTGTCGAAGTGGAACATAAGACTTGTGGATTTTGGGTAATTCATAAAGTCGGGCCAGTGCCGTGTCCGTTGGTTTCGTCTGTCGCCATTCGTCTAGAGATATCGCACCGTTGCACCTGAGTCGATTCAAGAGTCCGGTTAATTGACCGATCATCGATTTGGCTCGACAAGAGTGGGTTGATTTGTAGGACTGTTGGCCGTCGAGGAGAGCTTGTGCCTTTCCGCTGTAATCGACGCGGTTCATCACGACGGTTGATCTTCCTTTGTCGGCTGGCAGTATTGTTATATTTTTGTACATTTTTAATTCCTTCATTGCTTCTATTTCTGCGGGCGACATATTATTGATGGGCCTGTTCGTCATTAGCGGGGAGGTGACTTTCTGTCGAGCGGTGTGTTTAGCCTCGTCGGTTGCGTTGGTTCTTACTCGCATGGCCTTAAGTGTAGCGAAAAATTCGGCTGGTCTAGCATCCGCCGTATTAAAGTTGACTTCACAACTCAACACCCTCAGTTCTTGTTCAGTTAGATTGGACACCACATTTTCGTTTGTTTTGTATTCGGATTTTAATTTTCCGAACTTCTGCTTATCCTTGGAGTTGGTTGATTATACAGTATGCGTTTAATCTTACCAAATCCACACAGTTCTCGCTCCTTCTAGTGAGCTGCCTTAAAATAGAAATTATATCCGGTACTTTTCGGAAACAGTAATTACCTTGGATTAACTAGACCACGTAAAGATATGTGTTGACATTCTACATCTGATCTGATCTGATCATATTATCACAACTATAAACCCTTTAAGTCCATGTTCTGCCACGGTAGTCCTCTCTATTGGAATGGACTAATTTCCCACCACATTTATTTTCTCTTTCAGGGTTTATCTCTAGGCCCACGAATACTTCAGGCAGCCAAAAGAATACCGACAGCAACCCTCTTCAGAAGGTTATGTACACAGAGCTGTGTGCGCAACTTTCCAGTGTCAAGGATGGGCAGACGAGTTCACTATTCGAGACGCCAGACCCGCATCTCGTCTTCCTTGATCGAAGTCGCCTTTTGACACGCCACCTAGGAATAGCATTTCTCTTTCTACTAATATTATTAATTACCTCAGTGACGACCGCATTACTTATGTTTTACCACGGAACCGCCAATAATCAGTGGAAGTAGTCCAGAAGATTTTTAAGGTACTATGAAGAGCTGCACCCTTGCATGTATTTTTTTACACTGATTTCTCTCACTTGCAAATACTCAAAAAACCGTCGTTTCTAACCATTTTGTTCACTTTCCTACGTCGTGTAATAGAGTGAACGCTGACTTGGTTTTTCGGTTGTGCACTTACGTGGGGTTTTTATCACTGATTTGCTTTAACCGAGAATAGGAGGATGCAATGACACATGTAACCGTACTGCGATAGCCAACAGTTTAGAATGGGTGCACTGGAGAGTACGAAACGGAGGCCATAAAGGGGTAGGGGAACGAACGGGGAATGGGGAGCATCGCCGCGTATCTTTTCGGATGGTGTGGCCAAACCTGGCTGTCGTGTCCAATGTCACGCATTAGCCCCGCCAGAGAGCAACCTTTAGCCTCTCCATAGTCTCCACTCGACATGGCGCCAAGGCGCGGCCAGCCGAGGCTGGTGCCGGCAGGGTTATGTAATTATTATCCTTTCGCAGCCGCCGAGTCCCTCACTATCAGTCTTGTTAAGTTCTCTATTATTTTACATCCTCCTCGCCTTCCGGTTGTTCTATCGTCCGTAGACATTTATTTATCCCGAAATCAACATAATATTCCACTATCCAGAGGGCTTCTATTCTATCGTTGTATGTGCAACGCTTGTGCGTAACCTTTGAGATTCATATTACCTCTGCTTCTGTAGGTCGTCAAGTCTCCACTTTCATAAAGTGAAACATTTTAAGGAAATGCAAGTTCCCTCATAACAATCATTCTTTTGTAGTAACAACGGATAGAAATAAAGAACGCCAAAGTCGGCAGTAAATACACGCCTCAACTACGAAATGCACCTTTTCGGATTTTAAGTCATTTTAGTGACCGAAAAGGTTCCCATTAAACAGCCAGCATTCTGTCGTATGTAGACTAGCCTTAGTTAAGACCCCATAATAATCAATTTTGCAAACTCAACTAAGTAATATTTTTTGTTGAGAAAGCATTGCATTACTTCAGTCGATAATTCATAACTTACATTGCACGCCACATGTCAGTGTCATCTGTCTAGTAGCTGATCTGGCCGGAGGAATACTTTTACTTGAACGTACCTTAGTGGTACCTTAATGATAACTATCTATTTACCAAAAGCCAAAACAAATTTGGCGAAGTTTATTTTGGGAGCTAAATACGAGGCTCTAGGTTTCTACGTTAAACATTTTACTTTTTCTTATCAATGCCAACCAGATGAAGAATGAGGTCTCCATTTCGAATATTTCAAAAGCGGGTAGCGTGACTGTCATGTCTTTGTAAATTAAAGTAAACAATCTACCATTGGAGCTTCGGCATTAATTTTCTGGCATGGATTAAGTATATGCGCTGTTCAAGAAACTGACAACTCTCATTTAACAAATTCACCAGTATTTTAACACTCCCGCTTCACTTGCAGACGTACGCATTCCATCTACCATTATTTCGAGCATTTTTACTGCCTGACTGCTCTCCGCGCCAAATTTTTTAAAATCGAACTTTGCTTTCACTAAAGAATTACGTGCCGGGTGTTCAGAACAATGAACCCGTGAAGACATTTCAGCAGTACCGGCTCCTCGGGATGGTACGGGTCAGCGAATGTCATCCTGCCAACGAGGTGCCGACCAAAAACTCTGCGGAACAACACCTTCTTACTCCGCATATATACTTAATCCTTTCAGATTTGCAAAGTTGAGAGATCCGGGAAGATTATTTGAAGAAGAAAATAGGCTCTGCGGAACAGGTTTATTTAACTGCTGACGTTTCAAAGAGCTGGGTCGTTTCTTCATTGTCAAAGCGAAAAGTGCACTTAATCGATCAGAAATTTGATTTAAAGTGGCATATTGTGCTGGTCGGCCTTATGCTGATCGATTCCTCTCTCCTCTCGCTGCCTCAGCCTCTCGGGAGATGGTAGACGGGCGTTTTGCCTGTGTGCTTTGTGAGTCACCACTCCGTTGAGGGGGATCTGAGTGAACCTCTGTCGGGCGGTCCGTCTTGCGGTTCTTGTTCTTCCTCACCGAGTAAACTCAACGTCAGGCTATCTCCGTAGGGCCTTCTTAAGTCCGGTGTGGTCGTTTGATCCTGAGCTCTACGATTGTGATGACGTAGGACTTTGTAAGCTGCAGGAAGGTCCAGATGCCTGTTGATAGAGTAGGCATCGGAGAACCACGCCTCGAGAGTTAGCCGTTCTGCTCTTGTGTTGCCTCGACTTAAGATGGTAGCCCTCTGGAGGTAAAAATTATGCCCTCTTTCTCCAACGTGTGTTGCTAGTTGAGAGTTAGGGTCTAACCTCCGAGTGGCCGATTTGTGCTTTTGTAGGCGAGTTTGCAACTTCCGCCCGGTTTCGCCCACATAGTTGCAGTCGCCCTCATTGCAATTTATTTTGTAGATGACTGCTGAGGTTTCAGCGGGTGGCAATGGGTCCTGCGATTGCATTAGGCGACGTCGAATTGTTGCTTGTGGTCGATGTGCTATGCCTACTCTGGTGGGTTGTAACAGTCGCGAGACCGCTTCAGAGACCCCTTTAACGTAAGCAATGGCCCTCCAGACTTTGGGTTGCTGCTCATTTGGCCGTTGTCTGGGCGCCCATCGTCTGCTTCTCTTTACTTTACTTTACTAAAAAGTGTTAATCGAATTAGACTCAGGAATAGCTCTTCATAAAACAGGAAGGGCAGAACGATTTGCCAATTGCCGAGGACAAGCAAGATGTCAATTAATTAGTATTCGCTTGCATTGAACGTCAGTCCTAGCACTGATTTGCCCTGTACACAAGGTAACGAGTTTACCCTTTCCTTTCTGAGATTCAGCAAGAGCCCGAAACTCTCGGGGAATAAACTATTTGTGACAGATATTGACCTTCACTTCCTTTTCTATTCCTCCATCCGTAATTCATAGTCGCTGTATGGCACGGTTTTTAAAATTAATGTGGTATATTTAGATAGGTCAGCTGAATGTTTACTTAAACGTCCGCTTAACCTTCTCCCTAAGACATCCCTTTTAGTAATACCTGAATGAAGTCTAACTAATGAATTACGCTGGTCCACATGTGTTTTGGCATAGTCAACATAACCTATCCAAAATTCGGATCAAAATGTATTATTTACTTTTGGTAAGTGAAAACGACGGTTTTCTAAATTCTGCTTCCAGTACCTTCAACCCTGGGCGCTATCTAAGTTTTAAACTCAGAGCTCTCGTTTAGCTGTGTTTCAGGCTTGATGGACGACGATTTTGAACTTCCAGTTGCCGCCTGAATGTTACGCACCCCTCTCTCAAACCCCTAAGCGCTCATTAACCATCGAGCAGTCACACCGTCTCCATCAGCGTGACTCACTTTCCGCTCGAGCACTTCGCTTCGTCGAGAAATAATTTCTTCATTGGTCTTTTTACGTAGTGCGCTCGGCAACTCGTTCTTCCGAATACGAAGCAGCAAATGTCTACCCCATATATAGGGGCGGGGCTAAAAAATGTCAATAATTCTTATCCCTTCAGTCCAACCTGACAAATCGACCATGACGTTTCTGGAGGAGAGCAACTTACTCTCAGGGCTCCGAATACGACTTCGGACAGGACTGTTCTTGACTTTCCAACTTAATGTTTTCGAGTGAGCAGAGAACCCGCGCACTGTTGGAGGAAAGTAGCGTTGACGTCACCCTCAGTGACTATAAACAGGCTTTTGAAAGTATTCCACACCAACTTTTAATTGACGAACGCTCTGAAGTGCTGCAAAAATGCACGTTACTAAAATGAATGATAGAGTTTGTCACAGGTTGAGCACAAACCTCATGTGTTGGCTCCTCCATTTCAGTTGCTGTACCACTAGCTCTGTCCTTGGGTTTGTGGATGATGTGGGTATCAGAAAAATTTAGCTGCAGGACAATCGATTTGGAGGCTTCGTACGTCTAAGGGAGTAGAATTTTTGCACCACGATTTGTCGTCGGGATGGGGTCTTGCTAGTGCGTCCGGGGTCTGGGGCAATATCCACAATGATTGGAGGTCGTCACCCCGCTAAACGAAGGTATAATGAAAAAGGGGGCCTCGGCTATTAAAAATGGCCAGTGAGTTAACGCCCCTGAAGGTTGAGTCCAGTTGACCCCTGACTAATGTCTTCCATGGAATCCACGTACTGCACAATCGTATGGTCTCCCATCAGCGCATAAAGCGGATGATCTACTGAAGATTACAGTTATATTCATCAGACCACCTATTTACAATATCTTGCAGCTCGAAGAAGAGACTGTGTTCGAACACTCCTCCGTCAGGTCTGCCATTGCTGCAGCAACGACGGTCGCCTTAGAAAAGACCTAACTCATTTGTATCGGTTGCTTAGATCTAACGGATAACCTGTCAGTTTTATGAAGAACTGCCTCGGGCATCGGACACAAGTCCAAGGCCCCATCCTTAATTGGAAAATCACGGACTAGAAATTATACTCCCTGCGTTTAATTCACGGAGCCTCTGAAGTGAACGCCCCGCAGCTAAGCCGATTTGTCATCCGCACCGTCCCAGGCTAGCATCATCGCTGAGTGCAGCATTATTTTGGATGAAAGATCCCATGCCCAAAGATCGGTAAACAAACGTAATCTATCGCATCCTATACGCTAATTTCTCTCGCATGTACACTGGTCGTAAGGGTCAGCGTCTGAACATTCGTATTAGCAAATAGAAATTAGCTGTATGTCGGCGTGCCGGCTAGTTACTCGTTTATGCGCATGAAATGGAGACCACCTATTCAGTTAGGATGACACTAAGGTCGCTACCGTGACCACTACAAGACGAGCGAAGATAATTTCCTGAGGCTTGGCATGTCACGGCGGGCAACATCGACTGCCATGTTGACCTAGACGTCCACTAAGACGAGCTGCGTTCACTAATCTCCGACTCTCGCCCTCTTCCCATGTCAGCGGTCGCTAATACGGTCACCTGCAGTTCGACTGATACGCCATCCTTCCTTTCCTCCATCACAGGAAGCCTTAACCGTTTTCCTTCCTTCCTCCGGCTAAGCAAACCACTGTAACTCCGTTGCCATCCGCCTCGCACGCCAGCGGTCTGTCTTTCGTCGTTTATCCAGTCTGGCCCCTAAAACGGGCCAAGCGGTAAATACGCCAGACCAACACAGGGCTTAGATCGGAGTCCGGCAGGCGTTACTGGGAGGGTGCCTCCATTGTAAATGCCCGCATTGGGGGTGTGATGGCAGGCCCCGTTGCAGGCTCACGCCGCGCCAACTGGGATCAGCGCTGCTGCCCATTTTGTTGTTGCACAAAATCCCGGTTAGTGCACGTTGTGGATCAGAGAATGCGGTGGTACGTCTAGGAGGCCGATGTACGTTGTGCCAGCCACCGGCGACCTCTCCCGCTTCCGATATTTTTGACTCTGTTTTGATACCGGCTCCAGGTGGGGGAGGAAGAGTGCAATAGATGCTGCCCAAGTCTACTATCACTTTAAACGAACTCACGCATAAGTTACCGTTCCTTCTCTCACCCCGTCATGGAGGATACTGTGCAAGTCGTCGGTCTCAAAGGTCAAACTGTTGTCTGTCTTGTTGCGTCAATCGATCTATTTCTGCAATTTCACTTCCTCTCTTTTCATTTCGTTTGACGACAGATAGATGTCACCACCTTGAAAATTCTCTAGTAGGACTCGATTGATTCTGAAGAACGTCGTCTTTTCTCCATCCATATATTTCTTGGGATGCCTACCTTCCAATATATATATATATATATATATACTCAACCAGGCATGGGCGCACACCGACCCACCAGTTTCCCGAAACAAACGATTTCCGTATTGGTAGCAAAGGCCACGGAGGGGAAACCAGTTATCAGGCCGAAGTCGGTAAAGTTATATTACAAATTCGATCTAGAGCGACAGAGAACAAGAGGTGGCGAAGCACTGATGAACTTTGGTTCGAGGAAGTGCTCATGACCCATCAGGTAGACCCCAGTTGTGGACCAACTGCGCCAGGTGTGTCTGTGTGCATGTCTGTATTTCTGATCCTAGCCGCTGACCAGAGTTATGATTGGCTGAATGAAGGCAAAATAAGCCCGAAACAGTACTGCAGAAATCTACCCCATTCTCTGTCATCCCTCCTCGCTGATATTGTAACTTGGTTGACTTCGGCCTAGTAATTGGTTGTTTTCTCGTGACCTTCGCCACCCATATGGACCTTGTTTGTTTCGGAAGCCAATAGATCGGTGTGCGCTCATTCCTGATTGAGTGAATACCCGCTCTGCAGCGACAGAAAATAAGAGATGGCGAAGTACTGATGAACTTACTTTGGATGAAGTGCTTCTGACCCATCTGGTAGACCCCGTGGTGGACCAACTGCCCCAGGTGTGCCTGTGCGCATGTTGTATGTATATATTTTCCCAAAGGACTCATTTTTCTTCGGATTATGTTTCTTGGGATGCCCATCTTCCAGTACATACGTATGAATTCCGATCGTGAAATTTTGCTCCGAGCTAGGCGGTGGGAAAAGTGCGTAAATCGTGATTTTTAATTGTAACATGGGAATATTCGCTGAACTTACACAATCCAAAGATCCCTCAGTGTTAATGGAACTTAATAGATTCTTAAAATTTGACACCAGGCTTGCGGAGGCACAAGCGACGACAAAATTCTTATTAGGATGTATTGACAGGGGTGAATATCCGAAACACTATTGGAAAACCTAACGAAGAAACCATATTGCCGCTACCTCAGCCGCACTAAGACGACATGCGGAAAGTCACCTTGAGGCAGTTAGCGCAGGAATTGAGGAACTCCAACGGAATTTGTGCCAGAGAGCAGCGGCCCTGGACCGTCTTGAAAAATGCTGGAGACTTGCTTTTGAAAACTACGTGCAAACTGTCAGAAGTAAAAGAATCGAGGGCAGGTGGACTTATCTCCTACGAAGTGTCCAACCAGTGAAGGCTCAGACGGCCCTTCTGAATAATCCGGAACGGTACGTTCATAACTATTCCTCAGTACAACTTGACAAAACTCTCATAAAGGTAGTATCTCTTGGCTCTAAGTTTTGCAATGGACGGCGGATGCCGAAGCAGCTAGAGTTAGAGGTCCAATTCGAAAATCTATTCAGTCAGACTGCCGACCTAAAACCTAGGGGGCCTAGAGAAGTCGACTATGGCTAATTTCTGTCAACAGTACTCAAGGAAGGCTCCAAAAAACAAAGATCCCTTAACAAGGGCCCATTTGGATAGCCTCAGCGAACTTCGTAAAAACGAAAACATTGTGCTAACCAGGCCGGATAAGGGTTCAGGAGTTGTACTGATGGATGGAAAAGAGTACGTAGCAGAACTAGAAGCAGTCTTGTCGGATAGTATAAAATTCTCGAAATCCGAGAAAGACGGGGACCGCATCGAGGCCGTTGAAGGTAAGCTGACGGCGGTTCTCAAAGTTCTTCAAAAAGAACGTCATTTGTCTGACAAAGAATATGAGCGAATAAGACCAGTGGGCACGGCCATACCCAGAATGTGCGGCCTCCCAAAAATTCACAAACACGGTCTACCCCCTACTTCCAATCCTGGATATGAGGAATTCGCCTTATCACACCATAGCAAAATGGTTAGCCAAAAAGCTTAAACAGCTGCAAAGTCATCTATACCCCCTAAGTCTGAAGGACTCCTTCGATGTTGTCGGGGCGACCTAGGATAGCAACGTTGACGGACGGAGGATGCTATCATTGACGTAGCATCACTGTTTACTAATGTACCCGTAGCCGAAACAATAAACTACCTTTGTGACGTTATCCGCGACACGAACTAAAAGAACTAAAAGAACTACTGACACAGTGCACACAAAACGTCCAGTTTCTTTGCAATGGTCAACTGTACAGGCAAATAAACGGTGTAGCGATGGGCTCACCGTTCGGCCCGTTCCTCGCAGATGTGTTCATGGGCAAAGTCGAGATGACAAGTTTGCAAGACACCATTAATGACCTCAGCTTCTACGGTCGGTACGTGGACGATATTTTCTGTCTGACGGATGCTACCACCAACACAGACGCCCTGATTCAAAAATTCAACAATGTACACCTCTCGCTAACGGTCTCTGCAGAGTTCGAGGCAGACAATGAAATCGCGTTCCTCGATGTGCTTCTGCACAGACAAGGGGATGGGTCTATCCAGCGCAGAGTATTCTGTAAGAAAACCTGGACGGGACAATACATTAATCTTCACAGTTTTGTTCCCCTAAATATTAAACACAATTTGGTCCGGGGATCGGCAGCTAGAGTGCGACGTATCTGCTCTCCTGAGACTGTTGAGGCAGAACTCCGGCATCTGCGGGATATACTCCACGAACACGGATACCCAGAAAGATTTATCCTCCGAAATATAGGGGAGCGCACTACAAAGCCCACCATGGCAACTGCAGAAAAGAAAGACTTATTTATAAAACTGCCTTTTCAAGGGGACGCAGTAAGTGACCTAGTAAGAAGACGTCTGAAGACAGCGATCACTAGCGCTTTCCCGCTGCGAACTTACGTGTATGATGCACGAACTCTCCCCTCCTACGCTTGGGAGGTAAAGACCGACTCCCGTTGCAGGCCACATCGATATTTATTTACTCATTCACTTGCTCCTGTGGAGCGGGATACATTGGCCGTACAACGAGGCGCCTGGAAAAGAGAGTACGAGAACACATACCGGCCTGGCTAGGCAGAGGTGAAAAGAAATCGATCTGGAGTTCTATTCTCGCACATCTTGTCGATACGAATCACCGAGTCGATGCCAAAGAAGCCTTTTAGGTTGTCTACCGGACACCAGCAAGCTTCTCCAGAGGCCTACGCCAACGGGTGCTGGCTACGGCCGAGGCAGTGGCTATACGGCTAGCCAATCTAGCGCTATGTTGTCAGACGACGTTGACACAGGCGCTCTGTCTTCCGTGGCCAACGCCGACCCTAACGTCGCCCCAACCTCCTGATGGCAGTGGTGTGTGCACAAATTACCTGACGTACAAACATTGCTCACAGCCTATGTCCCCCCTCTCCCTCGCCCCCTTGACCCAATGACCATGACATGCCGATCACGCCATAGCACGCCTCGTCATGCGAGTGGTGTGGGAACGATGAGTGTTAATAGTCCCTGAATCACTTATAAACCCTGTAAATTCGAATAATTTAAACTTCTATGTAACCGTTTCGGCCTGATGAAGAGTTACCGAAAACACGTGTTTGCCAAATTGACTTTTTAAATCGCGAAAGTTTCACGCGAGAACAGTTATCGTTTTTACAAAGATGCCGAAAAATGAAGATATTTCCAAAATCTGTCAGTGTGAAGCCTCCTATAAAATCAGCTCAAGGATATCAAATTGCATGTCGTTATGGAGGAAGCATGCTTGCCGCATTCATAACTGATGCCCATTACAGACTTCAGAAATTCCGATTGTCTAAAGAACAGTAAATACAATTTTGCCGAGAAAACCTTCCTCTACACTTACTTTAATCTCTATGCGAAACAATAACCTACGTTTCCGACATCAAACGACAGAAAAAGAAGAGTATTTTAGACAAGAAGTGGATGTCCATGTCTGTACAAATATACGCAAACCACAATCATCCAGCTAAGATAGTAAATTTGTCATCAAGAGCCCTTACAATAACCGAAGAAGATGTACTTTCCAAGGGCATGAAATACGACCGCTCCGATTCAAACTACTTAGACTTCCTTGCAAACTTGAAGTCCATCATATCGTCAGAAAATCTCACAGATGATGAACGTTTCACCATCCGGAATAGCACTGTACAAGCCCTAAAGAACCGAAACTACTTTTCAGTTTTGTCAGGCGAGAAAATGAAGGCGTTGAAAACCCTGAAAACTGGCAAGAACATTGTAATTCTTCCTGCAGACAAAGGAGGTTCAACTGCAATTTTTAACAAAGCAGACTATAATAACAAGATGCCATCATTGTTAGAAGATAGTTCAACTTATATGCCTCTCACCGTAAATCCCACCAAAACACAAATTGCATCCATTGATAAAGTACTGAAAAGTTTTGCAGGAAAGAAACAACTACCAGGAGAAATTGCGAAATCCCTAAGACAAACTGAATCAATAATCGCCAAAATCCATGGGCTACCGAAAATTCACAAATCCAACGTACCATTGCGACCGATAGTATCGTTAATCGGTGCACCGAATTACAAGATTTCTAAATGGCTATTCCATAAACTCCATTCCTTAACAGAGGAATTTGAGACTTCAATCAAAAATTCTATTGAACTTCTAGACAAATTAGGAGGACTCACTATTGATACAGATAAGGCAGTGGTGTCATTCGATGTTGTCTCCCTATTCACGTCCATACCACTCGATTTAGCAAGGCAGTGCACATGAGAACTCTTACAATCCTACGACATCGATATTTCTGCATCTGCTTTGCTTGAACTCTTGGACGTATGTCTGAAAACGAACTTTTCGTTCGACATGAATATTATCGACAGCTGAAAGGAGCTCCCATGAGGTCACCTAGTTATGGCTTTTTGGCTGAGGTCACAATGCAAAAATTAGAGGCTATGGCCTTATCGTTGATTAATCCAAAATTTTGGGTACGCTATGTAGATGACACCTTTGTCATCGTCAAGAGGGGTCAGCTAGAAACACTGCATAACGCTATCAACTCAACACTACCGGGAATCACCTTCACGCTCGAAGGAGAAGTTGACACCACGCCCCCATTTCTTGATGTTCTCGTACAGCGAAAAACTGACGGGACATTCCAGACATCAGTATACCGCAAAGAAACTTACGCGGAAATTATCCTGCATTACGAGAGCAACCACTCTATGGCTCACAAACGGAGTGCTGTTAACAGCCTACTTAACTGAGCAAGGACACACTGCTCTGAGAACGAAGGGTACAAAGAAGAACTCAATTATCTATTCAACCAATTTTCCCAAAACGGCTACCCTAGAGATTTTGTACGCCGATGCATGAGACAGCAGGAATAAAAGGAAAGAGATAAGGAACTAGACTGTTTCGATCAGACGCCAAAACCAAAACATTGGCGAACGCTTCCTTTCATTAAAAATGTGTCTGAACTCCTTGAAAGACACCTGAGGACGCACCAAATGCAAGTGTCTCACAAACCGATGACTACGCTGTGCAATCAGCTTGTACGCTCTAAGGGTACAGTGCGTGACCGATCTCATGAAATGTTGGCCACAATTCTGGAATGCTTTTCCGATTAGGAAGGATTACTTAAGTGGAGTTGTAATACTGATTATCATGCAGCATAACCCTATGACATTTCGGACTCATCAGGATGTCGGCTACTGAATGCACTTTTCTATGACCTCCTGCAAAAACCACAGTCGGTAAAAAATGACAACTTATGTAGCATGCAATGGCAGATCAGGCTGAAGATGATTCGGGAATTGGGAAACTTTTTAAAAAACCTAAATGCATACTTTCTTCGGGCATAATATATGAAGATAATGTGATTTCCTTCTAAATGCACAAAAAGCATATTTTTGTGCATGTTTTCTATGAAATATATTTAAATTTACAAGAACATTGAAAAACAATAGGAAAAATGCGTGCTACTTAAGAAGTCATTTTTTACCGAATGTGGTTTCTGCAGGAGGTCATAGAGGAGTGCATTCAGTAGCCGACATCCTGATGAGTCCGAAATGTCATAGGGCTATGCTTCATAATAATCAGTATTACAACCCCACTTAAGTAATCCTTCCAAATCGGAAAAGCATCCCAGAATTTCGGCCAACATTTCATGAGATCGGCCACGCATTGTAGGGTTGGCTATTTTGGATAAAAAAGAAGTAGTCTACAAGAATCCCTTTGGCACTTGTAATGCGGTCTATTGTGGTCAAACTGGAAAATCCGTCTCAAAACCAAACCCAAACCATAACCAAGCCTGGAAAACCTAGCCCCAAGAAGGACGCAAAACCTAACACCGATCCCAAGCCTGACCGTAGGTCTAATCCTATTCTTGATCCTGATACGAGCAAATCTGGCGTCAATAACGCTAGCAAAGGTGAAAGTCCGCGTATCGCATGACCCCCTCGCGACCAACTGTCAGACAAACCGTTATGAACTACACCTGCCTAAGTGACATAAATAGGTGAATTTTTGAACAACTACCCAGGGAGTTATATACCCTCCTCTCACCGAAAAACACCAGTGAATTAAAAACAGATGAGAAGAACACATAGAAGGCTAAGGTGATTACCTAGAAATATGGTTTAGCTTCTAGAGAAGCTCTTTCTTCTTGGTAGACATTCGGAAAAATTCTGATGTCGGGGACATGGGAGCTATTTAGATACAAAGTCCACCAAAATGGTTCGTTATTAATTGCAGCAAATGAAGTTTGTACTCCCGTAAACCGTGAATCTATCAGGATACATTTATTCTCAGCGGCTAAACTCCATAAGTGAATCAGGCTATAAAATTAAAACACACATTTTAAACCGGAAACGTGATATCTTTGTAAAACTGGCTCCTGAGTCCACTTGGAAGATTGCAAACAAAGGGCTCGAGTACGAACTCTTTCTAGTCTGAGTGTATTCGAATTCCTTCCTTCATAATGGAGAATATGCTACTCTGCACAAAGCCCCCCCCTCAGGAAAAGAAGAAGTATCGCGTTGGCTTCCATCAACTAGGCCTCTTAAAGACACTCCGAATTTCAGGCGGAAGGATGAATGGCTCTCTGCAATTCGTATACGAAGTGTTTTTTCGCTCAAGTTACGAACCGGTAGAAAGACAAAGTCAGAAATTCTGGGTCAGATGAGGGAGAGGGAGTGAGACTCGAACAATGGTTCCCGACGTTCAGGAGCGGTGACGTTGACCACTCAGCGGTCGGCGCACTGCCGACCGACAAAAATAGTATACTTAGAGGATAGGGTCATTAGGCTTATTTTTTTACGACAAAACTGTTCGGGGAATACTTGATCTGTCCTCCGCTTAGTGAAAAAATCACCGATGACTAATACAAATGGATCTTGTCCTCGTCCAATACAGACGGTGAACACGAACCCCAGACAAGTTAAAGGATTGATTTCTGGCCATGTGATGAGTACCTGAACTTGCGAGCAGTTTTGAGATCATAAGAAAACCTTAATCTCCTCACAGGCATTGTAGCAGTACACATAGAACATGATAAAATCAGACCCTAGAGTGGTGCAAAAAATCCTGGGAAATGTCAATGAGACAAACCTCGAATGCCCAGAGGAAACGACAAACGTCAATTGATACAGCATAAAACGAAACAACGACAAAAGTGGACGCGGGAGAGACAGAGATCAACGGAATGCCTACAGACGATAATGAAGTAAAGTACCGCATTTGCTTAGTGTTGACAAAGCTAAAGTCTACAGATTCTGTCTGCGCAAACAACCCAACGATCAACGATCTTTAGTAGGCCATCAGGGATAATCATGGAAAATCACCGACGTTGCAAAAGAGCGCAAACAGTGCACCGTGTGAACGTAAGTGGAATCAGAACATCGGGATCCGGGAGACCCGTGAAGCCGATATTATCACATACCATATGTGGAAGCAGACTGGAGGTATAAAATGCTTGCAAAAGATGTGGGCAGCTCACTGAGGGACATGAACGTCACAAGTCCAGTAACAGGATCACTAGAAGGCTACTAGAATAGACAGTCTCAGCGGAATTCTCAGACGTTACGTGAGACCACCAAACAATCTGACGTCATATTTCACCAACAAACAGACCGCTGGGTCAGCCAAAAGATGTGGACGATGAACTCTCCTCCAAAAATAAAACTTTCTTCAGCTCGTGACCGACGAGTTCTTCATCATAGACATTAAAGGGCACACATGATTTCATAACAAACAGTAAATTGCTGATCGCCATCACTATTAGGGGCAAAAGCGTTGTTAATGGTAAGGGTTCTTACGCACCTCTTGGAGACATAGTCGATTTTCTGTATCCGAATTTCGGTCAGTCGAAGAAAGAAATGTGTGAATGATGACTACCTTCGAAATGAACGGCCAGCTGGGGGAGACAAACCGAAACAACGCACCTGGTTCTGACCTAAACACCGATTGATTCTCCCTTGAAAATCAGTCCAGTGTCTGATAAAAAGTTCAGGCAAAGATCGTGCGCCTGCCAGTCTGAGGGACTGACATAGTAACTAAGTCGAAATCTCAAGAAGGGAGACTTTGAAAAAAGTGTGCCGGATGTCCACAATCAGAGCAATCGTCTAACGAATCGAATGCCGGAAACTCCTGACGATGCAACGTACAGCTTATGAGCCAACGATAGTCGAGAAAATTTTATACAAGCTGCAAAAATGGGTTAGTGAACAAAGCAAAGTAAAACCAATGCCCATTCCCTATCAAAGGGATGGTCAGTGTTTTCCGTCTATAACGAGGGGCCTTTTTCGATGAGAGCTCGCACCCGCAAATTACCTTGTCTTGCGAATTTGTTTCGTTAAACACGGTGATGTTGACGACAAAGTTTAAAACAGCTATTAACCACAATTTATATAATCAGTAAAGTTTATTCGATAAATCGTTCAAAAGTTAAATCACCTTTAATGAGGATTGTTAATTAGACAAAGACAGTTGGCCTGAATAATGGGATAGGGCATATTTCCACGTCTCACATAAAAAGGATTCCACCGTACGCAGTTCATTAAAGTCAAAGAAGTGCCCGCGAGACAGTTGTTGACCTTTGTCTGATCAGGGACTCCAGAATCAGCACACTCTTATTCGTTGGTAAACATTCTCCCAAGACCTCAATAAGCAGAGGCTCTGTAACTACACTGAGTACGAAGTCCTTACGACTTATTAAGCCGTCCTTGTCCTTGTCGAAGAGATTAAGTACCGTGTCGACCATGTCTGTCTTCAGTTCATCGGCATCCTCCTCTGGCAACTTAGCTATAAGAACATCGCGCAGAAAGAACTGGATGTCCTCCTTGGTGAGAAATCCCCGTTTGTGGTGATCGTAAACAGTAAAAGCAAAATTCGTCATCTGCATAAACGAACCTCTCAAAAATATGTTAAGTGCGTAGATCCAGTCATCATACGTAAGCATGGAATTGGCACTCGAGCTGGTAAGCGCTTGAAAAATGCGTTCCATCATGGCATCATTCGTGAAATCGAAGAAGTTGAAAAGAATGTCCTTGAAAATCATTCGATTTATGGGCGACTTGTACTTTTCGACAATCTTGTCGAAAATGCGAAGTAAGCCCTCTATTTCGATTCGCGTGAAATTGGTCTTCTTTTCGAGTTCAACAGACTTGTGATAAAGGCGTTCTTTTAGAACACTGTGACAGGGACGCCTTTCAACCGTGTTGGGAAGTCGTCTCCTCGTAGCCATCTTTCTGCAAGCTTCAGCGCGCGCCTACTATTGCTAGTTTGCGTGACGCAAAAATCGATAAAGTTTAATGGAAATTTGGTTTGGACAAAAGTCACACGGCTTTCAGCCCTTACCCTCACGACGCCCTTTTGACATAATATGACGGCTAAAAAACTTACGTTCCAGTGTCTGTGCGAGAAGGAAACGTATCTTAATTTTAGTCCCGATGCCACAAAAAGCCGTTGCATGGGGAGATCTAAAGGAGGAGCAAAACAGTGCTAAAATTATTAAGGGAACTGAGGAATAGCGTGTTCATTTTACATCGGAGCGACCGTCGGGGCAACCATTAAGAACTTGCAGTCGCCGTAAATGTCTACCGAATTTGAAATGTTTGGCTCCTACAGCGTACCAATCACTTGCTAAGTCTAGGAATTATGAGTGGTACCGAAACGTTTAGATGCCCGTGCAACCGAATGGAATTTAGTTTGCAAAATCAGAAAGTTATAAAGTAAAACATCGTTGCGACTCGTCAGCTCAGAATGTGTTCCGAAGACTACTGGAAATCACTTTCGCCGGGCATGGTCATGTTTATCAGAGAGAATCGGGACCGGGCCAGGATAGGAATGATCTAATAGCAAAAGGCAATGTACTTACTGGGAGACACTGACCCGTAGGAAGAATACAACCGGAGACATTCATACTAGATAGGTACGAGGCGATTTTCCTTGGCCAGTGCCAGGCTCCCCAGTGTCCTACAATCGAGAGGAGCTGTTGGATGCAGAACTAAAGGCCACTTTGAGGTAGGGACCAAGATACGGACCCGTCATACAGATCAATACGATGCTATCTTCAGCTAGGAGATAAAAAGGAATAAAACGTCTTGGCTATTACGTATTCCATTAAATTTCTGAGAAAGCGTGGGGAATTTATTGAAACAGGGTCTTTTTGCTGGGCAAGTTCAGGATTTACGTGTCGGCCACAAGGAAGAACTACTGTGTACTAGTGTGAAAATACAATAAAAGACAGGTTTGTATCTTAAAGGTGAAACCCTAAACTAAATGATTTACCATACTGAGAGTACGGGTACTAACTCAAAACTCCGATACGTGTATCGCTGCTTTTGTGCTCCTATATGACGCAGCTGTGATGAGTCCAACTGATAAGTTGGTCGCCCATGTTCCTCACGCGCTCTCTGGTATAAACTCCAGTGACAATTAACGAAATTTACTGATAGCTTTTTGTCAAAATGCAGGTTTGATATGAATTAGTTGTGTTCGGTGAGCCAAAAACAACGGAAGGTCAGGTTGGGTGCTGAAGAGGAAATTCAGCTAAAAAGAGACCATGAGGAAAAAGATTCGCCGGAGGACTGTGAGACCGTCTTTATATGAAACTCCATCCACTCAGAAGTCCGAGGTTAAACTTCCCTCTTCAAATAGAAGACACCAGGCGGGTATACAGCAACAGAATTAGGAAAAAGCGGCCTAATCAATATTTTCTTCCCGGGCTTAATGTGCACATAAGTAAGGCGTATTAGGAGGCGCGTTAAAAACCCTTATGAGGCCCTGGATCGAACTGAACCTTGATCGTAAGAAAATAGTTCGGCCGTCACAAGCGACGACGTTCAACGCCGCTTGGTAAGGTAGACCCGAATACATTGACTTGCGAGTCCATTGACTCCGATGGCGAGACAGAGACTAGGCAGACGAAGTTTAACACGAATGCCGTGGCTGGAAAATCTGGGTCAGATCGTAATATGCAGCCTTCCCTGAAGCAGCTCTACCCGAGTTGCCTTTAATACGGGAATGGTGGGAAGAGGGATTTTACGGGTGAGACCATCGGTCACGCCAAAAATCGGACCACGGCAATGTAAGAAGAAAAAGCCGTAGAGTGAAGCATGACGAAGCTTTGAATGAGGTGAAAACTAACCGCTACGCACGAGGGGCGCAGGAGATCTAGTCAACCAATGAGGAGCGCGAGCTCAAGTTCAAGGCGAAGATAAAGTTGTGCAGGAAAACCATTCGCAACGCAGACATGAGTGCGCCTAGCCTAGCCACTCGCTGGATTAGAAAGTTAACTAAGCACATGCGGTTTCGCAGCCTAGCCAGCCGCTGGATTTAAAAGTTAACAGAACACATTCCGTTTCCTAGCCTAACCACTCGATGTGATTAGAAAACACAGCGGACACATTCTGTTTCGCGGCCTGGCCACTTGCTGGATTAGCCAATAAAGTGAACTTAATCGGTTTATAGCCTAGCCGCTCGCTGGATTAAATAGAAAACACGCCTGGGGAACGCACTGAGCCAAGCCACTCGCTTCACTTTAATCAAAACTACTAAAACCAAATCAGTAGGTCGACAGCATTAAGTATGCATGCAGGGCTGCATATTAAGATCTTACCAAAACCTGAACTGCCCGTCTATGCGTTCGACCGTTCCATGCACCTGCGCCCTCCACCGCCTCCGATCATCTCGACTGTGTTTTGACACCGGGTCAGGGTCTGGGACGAAACAGGCACTGATTCACTAATGACAATCACGTTGTCCGCCTTTGGCCTAGTCACTGAGTACGACATGAAGAACTTCGTCAAATTTGTTCTTCATATCATCGGGACTGTTGGCTGGGGGTGGAGTAACGCGCAAACGCCAAAGGAGGTGGGGACTTTGTTCTTTTGTAGTGGCAGTTTGGTCAGTTATTGCCGCCGACCATGAGGCTGGAAATAGCAGCGTCTAGGGATGAATGGGGTTGAAGTACCCATCCATGACCTGCATTGGTGACCTACCGAATTCGTTACACCCGTGCCGTACACGATGTACTCTCAAGGGAAATTTATATGGCCTCTATATAATATTTTGAACCATTAACAGAGCACCTCCTTCCACCACCGAAGGGAACCAATCCGCCTTGGTTATCCTTCGTTAACACTTGGAGGTTTTCTAATGCTTAATTTGGAACTATTATGGTGGAGTCAACGAACACACTTGTAAACTTAGAGGTCAAAAACCATTGAAAGTGCAACAGGGCATTGCTTTTCCAAGATCATGAATGCATCTTCAATTTAAATCCAAAATAAGCTCACGAAAGTCCGAAAGGCCCTATCGACTGCGACAATGGAAGCCTGAATGTCCACCATAAACCGCGTTTAGGCCTGGCGAATTGAGCCCGGAGAATTGTCTGTGACGTTCCCCTTGTTGATATCACTAACACGCCTCCTTTATTGACTGCCTGCTATTGTGGCCGTCTGCGCGAATCTATGTTGGGGCTGCAAAAACAGCGGAAGCGCCTGTTTTTTTCCTCCAATTTGGATAGAGCTCCGAATTTAAAGTCCATGTGACACCGGGGTTCTGTTAACTGGGGAGGTGTTATTTGTCAGAAAGTTGTACAGTCATCAGAATCGCCTCTCTAATCTCTCGAATTCTCTGTGTGTGATCGGCACCTCTTTCAGGGATTCATTATCTGTCCATCTATTCCCTTTTGTCTGCTGCTATCTGCCACTGTTTGGGAAGAGAGCTGACTGTTGACTTACCACTCTCTGTTGTTCTTTTGGCCAACTGCGTGTTCACTGCCCTAGCAGGTCAGTATGACTTAACGGGTGTAAAACTGCATAACACCTGAACTATCGTACGCAAGCGAATTTCTCATTGTTTGCACAACTTAACTATCCAGTAAACTCTGTGTAGACAGGTGACATTTAGAAATGAAACCAGTCCCCTCTTTGCCGGGGTCAAGTTATATCCCGACTATATCCCTCCATAGAATACAGTGCTATCAAAAGTGGTTATTCTGAGGAGATGTGCGTATACGCACATCTCCTCAGAATAACCTTATAAAAACCTTATAAGAATAATCTTATAAGAACTCATCATTCTATGCAAACCATTGTAAGGCACTTCGCTGTACCACGACGGTGCTGATATTTATTGAAACAACGCCTTTCACTTCTTGATTTTGTCCGTTTTCACAATTTTCTTACTGTTAAGAAAAACTGGACAGATCAAACGTACAGGACTCTAAGGGTGGAATACCCCACTCTCACTGGGCACTCGCCTAATCCAGGCACCTGTGATGAGTCCATCCCACCGTGCGTTATTCGAGTTGCGCCTCTTTGCGCTGACTTTTTTCGACTGAGATGCTGCAAGTTTAGATCTGGGAGCAACATTGAAGGCAAAGTAATTGTCGGCTTTCACTTTTTTCCCTTTCTCGCCGACATCTTGCAGAAAATTCACAAAGTTCTTTGTATTATGGCACAGTGCTGCGCTGTGGGATTTTATACTTAATTATGACTTTGGTAGATGTAATTTCCAATGCCCTTCCCCCCCCCCCCCACCGAAGAATAGTTTATTTTTTCTGTTAAATGATACTTTATACAATTTATATATTTTCGGTTTACCTCTTTTGTCTGCTATTAAAATTTGGAAATGCATGATTGCATGAATGAGGGGGATTTTATTCTTGTAGTAGCCACTCGAATCCTCCTCCTATAGTAAAGATCTGATTAAGACATAAACACACCAGGAACAAAGGTCAACGGATGTAAAATGTTCTAAATCGTCCCAGTGGCCTCAGTCTGTACATTCATAAAACTGAGACTTTCCAATGAACCTTGAGGTGGATAGTGAAGGCTGATTAAAAGACCGATGAGGTCACTTGCAACGTCATGCGTGTAGGTGAGGGACGCTTACAATATGACTTGTGGAGTGAAATAATAAGGTGTTTTCATCAAGAAATATGAACTATTATGTGAGCTGCATGGCGACTGAGCTTAATTTCAGACCTTGTTTGTTTTCCCGCGTCACTCAGGTCTCCGAAAAATTCTTTTTCAAGAATTTATGCATTGGATCGTGAATATATGGAAGGTTAGCTTGTTGTCGGGCATATTTTATGGGACAGTACATTCTCATGCGTTGCTTACGAGATTGGAAGAAGGGAGGACTGCATTTAAGTTTCATCCAGGATTGCAGCAGAAGCAACGATTCCAGTCGACCCGAGCCGTGGAGGTAAGTTAAAAATGCCAGTAACGAGTT